TGGGCATGAAAGTACATTTTGTACAACCAAAATTGTTGTGTAAATGTCCTCTTTCATGTCTATTTTGCATAAAAAGTAAAATAAAAGGCTCCATCACACACACCCTAGTTTTGTTACTTATGACCTAATCTTCCACACCAGCACTATTCATAATAGCTTTGCAGAGTTTTTTTTTCTTCTTTTTTTTCACCAAAATGCTATGAATGGCTTTATTTGTCAGTGAAAACCTATTGACTTGGTAAATAGTTCATACAAGAGACCACCAGCCTATAATAATTACCAGAATAATCAGTGTATGCAATGATGCACCTGATTTAATCAGAGCCAAAATAGTTTATCTAGCCACCAGAACACATTATGGATTCAGCGATCCCACAGCAAAACTAGACCCATCAGTGTCTGGTACTGTCAGTGTAAAGCAGGTTCCAAGACAGTTGGAAGTTGTGCACATATCACTTCAGTTCTGTGGTATATGGGGTTTGCCATGAGGCAGGGATACAATCGAAAATTATGTTGTGCAGAAGGTTGTTTGGATGCCTCACATTTACCAACATCAAGTGGTGACAATATTAGTGAGGCAGAAAGTGTTTCTTACACTACATCTGATTAATTATCTATTGTTTACATATTTTTATTCTCATATTTGTTTATTTTGTATAAAATAACTCTTGCATTGCATTCCATACAAGGTCTTTATCACATACATAATCATATATGTAGTACTTTTTAGGTGGTTTAATTTCATTGTCATACAGATTATTGGCCATAATTGTTATTATGTGTACTATATTTTCATTCAGTTTTTACTTTTACCTTATCATTATTTTGGTACAACTTATTCCTTGTTAATGCTTAATGGAAACATCCCAAGAAGCTGTTTAGAGTGGTTTTACACATGATTTTTTGTTTTTGTTTTTGTTACTGTAACAGGCTTTTGATTTTAGCATTTTTTACTATTCCTTAGAGCCTTGCACAAAATGTGTATTGGTAAACAATGCAATTATTTAGACCAACAACTCCTGGTGTGGGAGAAAAGTTATATGAAATAAAATAAATACGTTGACGAATGTCCCCTGTACAGAGTAATGGAAAGCGGACTACGGTTCCTCGCGTACTTCTATTCCTATCACACCGGTATCTCAGGGTTTTATGTACGAAAAGTAGCGTGACATTCGTTATTTTCTCTATAACTATACATTTCAACACCAACAAATACATGTCTACACTTTTTCCATTTTCTTATTATGAGGTCAACATGAAGCTTAACTTATTAACTGTATTAAATATTCTAACAAAGGATTACTCGAAAAAAATAACTACGCCAGTTAAACATTAAACAATTACTACAATTATCGTATTGTTTTAACCTTTTTCGGCTACAGATGTAATTATTATTTACGTGTTAATATTTAAACAAGATATCCATCAATCATTTCAGGCCAATTTACTAAGAACCCATCGAGGCAGAAATTTTCTGAAAAACCTTTTGTCTTAGCTCTTGAGGTCTTTACAAATAAACTTCAAATGTTATTGCTTATTCATAGTTAATGACAGTCCCCAATAATATGATAAACCGTCCTTAAATATAGTTCACAACACTCTAGATAAGAACGCACCATCTGAACTTAGTACGACCACAGGCACCCAAGGACTAGAATAACAACGGCAACGCATTTTTCTCCAAATTTGAAGACAGGCATAAAACAACTTTCCATTTATTTATTTGTTCATAGTCACATTGCATTTTGGTTAAAATAAAGAATAAAATAAGGATCTTTAGAACTGAAACATTATCATAATTAAGCTATACAAATATGCGCATCGTAACCACGTGACAATGCGCATGACGTGTAGTTATTTGGTTAAAGGGAGGAGAAGACGGGACTGTTCATCAGTGCATAAATTTCAAGTTATTTAACAGGTAAATTTCAATTTAAAAGGAACGTAAATGCACATGTACAAAGGACATTGTTTTTTTTTTTTTTTTTAATTCTGTATATCTGTTATAATACTATGTCAGCGGTGAGTGATACAACTTAGACAATATGACAGAAAATATACACAACAATTTCATGAGATTTACTCGCCATCCTTGGAAAATAAGCAATTTTCTCGTACTCACACGTGTACTCGACCTTTGATGACATTTATGAAGACTGATTTTAGATGGAAGTGACTGGCAAGTCATTTTAACACCGATCCTTTTCTTAGAAGCTCCAATGGGAATATCAACATCGGGAACGCCCCAGAAAAAAAAGGGGGTTGAATATTTTTCAAGGTATATGAAAGTTTTTATAAGGATCTGTCGGTGACAAAAATGAGCGTTTTGGGGATTGTTAAACCCATGGAATGTGCTTTTAAAATGTCGCAGTTTGATCAGGGAAGGAGAGACGACCTTATCGGCATCTATAATTTCCTTTCCTTTCAAGAAGTGCATACCAGTTAGTGTAATTCGAATTGTAATGATATGCTTAGAATTGCAAGTAAATTCGAGTTGTTTATAAACTACTTAACTTTTTTTACATAAATAAAATAGATAAAAATTAACGTTCTGTAGATCATTAAACAGCTACATCTGCTGACAAATCGACCTCATTTACAACTCACTTAACTTGGAAAATAAGAACGTGTCATCTGACTTTTTTCGTGGCCACAACCCCTAACAAACAAGAATAACGTCCATGCACCTTTTCACATTTAAACACGAATAAACGTACAGTATCCATATATAATTTCTCACTATGTCATAAATCTATTTCACTTAATTAAAATACATTTGAATGTTTTAATCGAGTCTGCCATAAACCAAACAGATATGTATATCAAAAGCGTTACGTTGTGCTTGTCATATGACACTTACCAACAGAGAGGATAGGCCCTTTATGATCAACCCTGCGGAAAAGTATCAGTAATTTTAACAGGTAATGTTTAACGAACAAGAAATCTGCATTTACTTTAAACAAAATATTTTCAACAGTAGCAGTCGTAACATGTCGTACTTTGATCTGGCGGAAGAGAGAAGACCATGACATTAAGTCGGATCTATATAGGTATAAACTGTCCAATGTGAACAGAAAGCATTTGATGTATTCAGTGTACGTTAGATAATGGATATTTTGGCGTCGATTTCCTTTTTCACTTCAAGACTGTTTTGACGCGCCCTATGTAGACGCGCACTGGTAGTACTAGTGTTGTGCGATGATTCTAGATAAGTGGTTATTCCCAATGAAACTATCGATCCAACCCCACGGAGACTCTTGCTGAATGCAGTCAGATCACCAGATAAACACCTCATCCTCTTATTTCCAGCGTACTTGCTAACTCACCAGCTTTTCTGTATTGTACACAAAGCCAGGCGGAGTGAATTGAGAATGAGCCTGGAGAGTACCGGTGTAACAAAATCAAGGGTCCGTGTAGCAGAGAGTCCGCCCTCCATTTAGTTTTATGATTAGGGTTAGCCTGACCTCAGTGGGTCAAAAACTGGGACAAGGCTTACCTGCACATGTACAAATGAATAGGAAACAGACCCTCTAACATGGGGGACTCTCACGTTACACATGTTCCCACACGGTATAGCACTTGTCCCATTCCTTGTTTATCAAATATGAAAGATAAAACGAGTCAAGCTTCTCTTCATGCCGCTTTTATTACAATGTCATCTTAAGCCATATGCTTTGTATAATATTTGCTTTTTCACTCTAGCACATTTTATCTCATTTTTTTATTTTAATTTTTTATTTAATTTTTAATTTATTTGACTTTGAGGACGGGAATTATGTTGCAAAATTAATTATAAATACTTCTATAAATAAATTATAACTATTAGACTTGTTTTGGTTTAAAAGAAATAGTTAAGAATCCCCTTTGAGTCTGTAATTGTAATTTTCACAGGTATCAGACCATGGCAGCAGCACAGATATGTCCATTTGAAATACCACGGAATGAAAAAGAAAATTATTTCCGCATGCACCTGCTCTTAGAACAAGCAACAGACGTGCTTCGAGATGTTCTCAGGACTCAGCTACAAGCAGCTTATCCGGGACTGTTTGATCCCAGTAAAACTGACAAACTTTTTGATGTACTTGACAATCAACAGGTCAAACATTCTGTGCGTCTGTTGAAAAAGAGAAATGTAATGAACTCGAGTCAAATGAAACTCCTGTACCCCTCTGGCACCCCTTCAACAACTGTGACAACGCAGGATTTAGATATTACACTTGTAGTTGTTTTGTTAAGAAACATCACCAATCTGAACCCTCAAGCTAAATGGGAAAACCCAACAGCTTCCGACACCTCCATAGAGGCAAACATTGGTAGAGTGAAGACCTACCGCAATCAGCTCTCGCATGGACATCATCTTGGCATCACTGACACAGCATTTCAGACAGAGTTTGATGCCCTCAAGCAAGTCCTGCTGTCACTGTCCCCAATATATACCAGTGACGATTACGACAAGCTACTTCTTGTGCCTCTGGATGCTAAAGGTAATATTTTTTATAACGCAGCGTTCGTCGTTAAAATTATATATATATATATATATATATATATATATATATATATATATATATATATATATATATATATATAATAAAAAGAAAAAAAGAACAGCAACTTTTTTTGCCCCGACCGGTTTCTTTCTTTCTTCAGGGTTTTTACGGGACTTTACGGTATTCCCATTTTATAAATGCACTAGGGAAACAACCCAAACAGAAAGGGAAATGAAAGAAAATCTCATTCATTAATAAGTATAAACCTATATTGAATAGATAAATGCATTGGTAAAAGTAACAATTAAACACCCATTGTTACAGACGTCACGTTTTAGCCTTTATGACATCACCTAGTATATATATATATATATATATATATATATATATATATATTATGTAGGAGTTAAACCCGCTTTTTTCGTCAATCATAATAGTAACCTCCTTTCAAGGGTGGAGTGAAGTGTTTATTTACCAAATCTGCAAATGCAGTTACTTAAAAATATGTAATTTCATTGAGTTAATATTTACTTATATTTGGTTTTAGAATGAACTTAATTCTGTTGGTCCAAAGTAAGGCGTTAAGGTCATCTACATGAATATGTACCGTATAGCTAAAAAAAAACACGACTATTGGTACGACTATTGGTATAAACCTATATTGAATAGATAAATGCATTGGTAAAAGTAACAATTAAACACCCATTGTTACAGACGTCACATTTTAGCCTTTATGACATCACCTAGTATATATATATATATATATATATATATATATATATATATATATATATATATATATATATATATATATATATATTATGTAGGAGTTAAACCCGCTTTTTTCGTCAATCATAATAGTAACCTCCTTTCAAGGGTGGAGTGAAGTGTTTATTTACCAAATCTGCAAATGCAGTTACTTAAAAATATGTAATTTCATTGAGTTAATATTTACTTATATTTGGTTTTAGAATGAACTTAATTCTGTTGGTCCAAAGTAAGGCGTTAAGGTCATCTACATGAATATGTACCTCTGTACATGTATGTAATGTGGTCAAAGATATGTACAATGAAAAGTGAATCCGCCAAGTTGGGTTCAGTCAGTGCCAAGCAATATGTGTATCCTTTATCTTAAGTGTAGTCTCATTACACGATGCAGATTTTTCAATCAGTATGGCGCATTACAAAACATTGTTTCAATGATGTAAATATGTTTCCATTTAATGGCTAGAAATATCTGAATCATAATTTTATGGGCTTTTTGTGGCTCTAGAATAACAATTAAAATGTACACACACTGGACAATAGAAGTGTCACCCCTACTGAACCAATACTGTGGGGAAGATAAATGACTGTGGAATGATATGCTCCTGGTATCATTTTATTAAGTGCCAGTTTTTTTTAAGCACCAGGCAAGTGCGGCAAGGTGAGGATTCACAGAATTTGACCTTATTGGGCTGAAATACTTGCCTGAGGACCCTTTTAACTTCTGCCAAATGTTATGCCATAAAACTGTATTTCAGGGGATTTATGCCCAATTTTCTGTTTTTCCAGCTTTCGAAGCAGATTTTCAGTTATCATACATCATACACGTCACTCATATATATGCTTATTATACTCTTATCTAGTAATATATTTACTATGTACATTCATGATGTATTTTGTTGATCAATATTCTTCCCCCCAAGACATTCAAACTAAAAATATAACCCACCTTGTCCACACTGTACCCACTTTTTTTACCCCACCCCCCAAAACTAAGTTTACGCATGGCGATTTTCAGAGGGTCATATACCCACTAGTAGAGGTCCTATGGCTGTCAAACCTGTATGTGTTTGTAAAGGAACATTAAAAATATAAAGTACAAAGGAGATCCTCGAGGCCTTTTCTTTTGTTGGCGATATTTTTTAATATTAAAATATCCGAAAATTGTAAAATTTGGATGGGTGTTGCTCTTGTCTTGGCCAGTAATACCTGCTCAATTACTCTAATCACGGCAGAATTGAACAATAGACTTTACAAGAATAGGCAATTGCCCTATAACAGAGCCTACCTTTGGGATTTAAACCGTCATATTCATATTTTGATGACTTGTAATATATAATTCTATTCGGTTGAACGAAGTGAATAAGAATGGAATTATTTTCTCCTAGGGGGCGACACTGTATATATTGTGTTAGTTGTGATACTGGTAAGAATTGTGGGTAAGTTACGACAGTTGTTCATTCGACCAGTTAGCGCAGACCAGTTGACACGTAAATTTATTTTCAAATTTTGTTTATGGTTTTGTTGTTTTAATTCGATTAGTACATGTGATTCATTTTGTTTTATAACTACATTGGTTATTGCTACAATGGCTATTTTTATTCAATGTTTTTTTGTTTTCAAAATAAGTATAGCGTATGTTGTGTTAGAGTGGACACTGTAGGAGTACAGTGTGCATGGGTGCGTGTTTGGAGGTGCGATTTATGTTTATTAATATATAAATTTAATGATTGATTTATATGAGCTGTTTGGGAGGTAGTTTTGCACTTGTGTAGTGGAGAGATGAGCTCGAAATAGGTGTTTGGGAGGTGATCTCTGGTGATTTCCTATGTATGGGAGAAATGAGATCGGCAGTGCTTGGGTTGTGATATTCTGTTAAATCCCTATGTAAGGGAAAGATGAACTCGGGAGAGCTGTTGGGATGTTATATCCTTATGATTCCTTAAAAA